GTAGTTCTCTCCCTTCCGTTTCTGTGTGTCATCGCCGGCCTCCCGACATGGTAGAGATCGAAGAAGCATCCACCGACACCGATGAGGTGACTCCACTGTTAAGTAACCCGAAACCCGATCCGAACCATTCAACTCGGACTAAGTCGGTTCGGACCAAGGTTCCGGAGGTCAAGGTCCACCTGTATCGGCAAGGCAAGGGTCCTATCGACGAATTCACGTTGCCCTTAGGTGGATGGGACCAGGATCAGCTGGAGGTTTGTGAAATTCTCGACAAATACGGGTTCAAATCGGTCTATGCCTTCAAACCGGATACGGGTCGGGGCGTTCCCATCAGATTCAACCCCCGTAACGGCCGATCTATTCTTACCTATAAAGATGGATCCGAAATATATATTGATGGAGAGCCTAAGGTACAATCTTTTCACACGATTTGCAATTAAGCAAATTAGCATGTTAGTTGCATTATCTTTTGCTTCTCGTGATGTTAGTGTCAGAAGTGATGAGATTCAGATATTTCTTATTAACTAATGTAAGTTGTTTGGTTTGTGGGATAGTTATATAAGGATTATAATGCATGAATTGTTATCCAAGGGTGGTCTAGTACTCATTGCAGTGGGTTGAGAACGATGAGGTCTCAGGTTCAAAATAGTACCTCCGTTTCAAAAAAGAACGATACTATTTTCTTATTAGTATGTTTCAAAATAAATTGGCACCTTTTAATAATTTCTTAATAAGAAGCATTTATAATCACATAAATGCTATGACAGGTTTCAGACCATAAGTTTCAAAAGTTTTACAGCCACAAAAATGCTATGACTTATTTAAGACTGTATATCTCAAAAGCCTCCCTTTCTTTATTAAAGTTTGTGTCAAGTCAAACTAAGACAATCCTTTTGGAACTGTAGGAGTAGTATTTTGAACCTGATGGACATAGTTACCCTTATAGCTGGTGTGAGATAACGGATACCTCGTTGAATTAGTCGAGGTGCAGCCAAGCTGGCCTCAACACCATAATTATATAAAAAAATGCGTGAATTTTTGTGTGGTAAATATTTAATTTAGAGATTGTTACGTAGTGAATAATAATAATAATAATAATAATAATAATAATAATAATAATAATAATAATAATAATAATAATAATAATATGGGGATTGTTATGTGATTGTTAATAATATATGGACTGTTAGGTAGGACTCACAGGAGTTGCCTACTTTAAGTGCATTTTAGTTTTAAGATACTCTTGTTGAGGTACTTGCTAATACACCTATTATTACCTCCCATTTTTTCGCACATAAAATGATAGATATATATTGCATAAATTCTTTAGTTATTAGCAATGCGGTTTAATACTGCAAACCAAAACTTGCATTAGTTATTCAGTGGTTTATCAATCTTTGTATTAGCTTTCTAGAGATGGAATTCGTATTGCTGCATTTGATGCTGCAAATCAAACTTTATATTAGTAACACAGAGTTTCGTTGGAAACTATTTTAGCTTGTGTACATACCAAACAATCCCTAAATGCATAAATCTCTGATGTGATTATGTGAACTAGGATAGGTTTGGTTGTCTTAGAAGACTTTTGAATGAAATTTAGGAAAAATTGTCTCTTTGGAGACATCTGGTAAAGTTGGTAATATTGGAATGATACAGAGAAGATAATAAACTGATAAATTGGAAAACATAAAATAGTTCTTTTAGGCAAAATGGCATTTGGAGAAATTGTATCATCATCTTTGGCAATTAAGTTTGGATGAAAGTATATTGTTTGGTGTATGATATCGTAAATCTTCCAGAGGATGTGGCTTGTACTATTTATTTTATTTTTTCCAATTGGTAATATTTGGAAAAGAGTTATTGGTTGAGGATTAATGGTATGATGGTACTTCTAATGAAGTTTCATTAACTCTATTACAGTTTGGCTGTAGGTGAAGAAGCTTTTATCTATTTTGGAAAAATTTCATGTTTATCTTACTTAAACCAGATGAATCTGGAGCTTATTTAGAAGGAAGTGTTGAGATAGAGCGCTATCCACCCTATGGAGCAGAATGGTTTTGCTTCTTTTTCTTTTTTTGGTAAGGGAATAATTAGGTTCTCAGGGAATTTTTTTTTTACGACTTCTTGATAGTGTTTTAATAGGCAACTTGCAAGGAGCCCTCAAGAATGCTTGGGGTGAGTGTTCCCTGGGAAATGTCACAAGGTAAATTCAGGCGTCATAGCTCGAGGTTGACAAAGCGTCTCTGACTTGTATGCCTTCTAACGTGAGGCTTTGATATGTCGTGGAGGTCTCTTTCTTTCTAATGGATAAAGTTGATGTTTGGAGGGGAAATTAGCTGCTAAAGGAAATGGATATCCTCTGTAGGTTTACCAAGTTAAAGAAAAATGGTGCTAACAACGCAAAATTTTCAGTTCTGTGAGTTGTATGCCTTCTAACATAAGGCTTTGATGTGTCTTTGGAGGTGTCTTTCCTTTTCAATTGAAGAATAGGATGTTTAGAGGGGCAATTAACCATCTAGAAGTAATGGAATATCCTTTGTAGGTCTACCAAGTAAGAAAGTATGGAACAACTCCAGTGGAGGCAAAAAAAAAAAAAAAAACTAGGAGATTTCTTCCCGTCTGTCTAAGTCTTGGGAGCAAAAGTGTTCGGTTCATGTGCTAGGGGAGGTAGCAGGTACCCGATGGAATAGTTGAGGGGCGCGCAATCTGGAGGAAGAAAATATGGAACAAACAATGTTATATTTCCTCCGTTCTGCACTATCTTGGTACTTCATTATTGACGGTATTAAAATTTCTAATTCTTTGAGTTGTATGCCTTCTAGTGTGACGTTTGTGTAATGTCTCGCTCATGTTTTTCCTTTTTAATGGAAAAGAAATGTTTACTACTCACGTGTGTTTTTCATTTTCAATGGAAAAACAATTGCTTAAATGTGGCTAGGCGAAATGAATATTCTCTATGACTCTATGAGTAGCAAACAAAAATGTGGAGCAATCAAATTAAGAATCCCATACTTCCTGATATGCTCATATGTGGTCTACTTTGTATTTCTTCAAAGAAAAAACTTCAACAGTTATTTACTAGTAATAAGTGGTTTGAGTGGAGAAAGTTTTATTTTTAAGGTGCCATCTAGTTCTTTCTCTTTTATGAAGAGCTTTTCCTCAGGCAATTTCCATTTTTTGCTAGAGAGCTTTTTGTGATCAGAGCCTTCAGAATAAATGATGTTTACATCAGAAATCAGAACTGAAACTGAGGACATCTGGAAAGGAAGCAGAAACTGCCTAGTTGAAGAAGGTTCATGTGCTCTAGTTTTGCAGTTTGGCATTTCAATCTCAAAAATTGAAATGCCAAAATAGCCGTGCTCTTTGTGTCAACTTGATCTATCTATAAGCATGAGTATAAACATGCTCTGTAGTCACCCATTTACCCATTTATATCTTGAATCGTTTGCAAGAGGTTTTCTTGAACTGCAATATGAACTTTTGACATTGTTGGACACTTTCCAGAAACTGTTGAAAGGATATCTAAATTTGATATTACTGCTAGTTTTCCTGAGCACTTCCAAGAGGGGTTGCTCTGATGGTAAGCAACCCCCACTTCCAACCAAGAGGTTGTGAGTTCGAGTCTCCCCAAGAGCAAGGTGAGAAGTTCTTGGAGGGAAGGATGCCGGGGGTCTATTTGGAAACAGCCTCTCTACCCCAGGGTAGGGGTAAGTTCTGCGTATACACTACCCTCCCCAGACCCTACTAAGTGGGATTATACTGGGTTGTTGTTTCCTGAGCACTTACATTGAAAACAACAATTGGCAAACGGGAAAACTTTACTTGAGATAAATAAGTTCTTCCATAAATAGGTTATCAGGAAAAAAAACTCTGTATCAATATGCATGCTAACATAAATAAGGCCCACATTAGCAGGCCCTAACAATGAGAGCATGAAAGGAAATTGAAGGGAACTGCTCTCCACTCTCCATAATGAACTGAGAATATATTATCCCTTTTATAATCAAGATGCATTTCTTAGACCAAGAAAGCTCAACTAGATGTGAAAATGTCATAAAATGACTTTACCAAGGCGCTCTTGACACTTCAATGACCATATCTACTTGCAAGTATTAGCTTATTTCACATGGTTCTCCACAAAATAGATTGTTATATGCATAGATGTGATTTTTATAGTTTGTCTTTTTTGATTATAGGACTCCTTGATCAAACCTATTACCAGGATATTGGTCGGTGTTGCAGTGATCACCATATTGATAGTATTGGTGATGAAAGAGACTCCACAATGGGCAGAAAAGTTGAACTTCACTGGTGGTAATATCCCGCCATGGGTCCTGGCCGCTGTGGTCATCTTGTTCACACGTGTGAGGAAGAGGACTAAGAATTTCTTTGAAAGACGCCTGTGATGAACTGGTGCTAACCACAGGCAACTGAATTTTCTCAAAAATTTGCATGCTTTGTTTGTCTTTCTCACTATAGTTTTTGGATTTGCATTTTATAAGCTAATCTAATCTTATAATCCAGTCATGTACATGCCATTCCTTTCTTTTTCTTGTTGGAGAATTTTTGTTCTCACCCTGAATGATCGGGCGGTGACTGGATTCTCAGATTGCTTTTGTGACAATACCATACTGTCAGCTCGTTCTGTTTGCACCATGAGAGACGCTATGTATGAAAGTAACACCTTGTCTCGAGCTTGGGAAGATTTTTGATTTGATAAAAGTACACATTCTCTCAAACGTGGAAACACGTCTGATAGAAGTAAGATGGCAACATTCAGTTTGGTTCAAACTCAGGGAATAATACTTAGCTTTTTCCTAGTTTATGTGCCTGCAGAAGACAAGTTATGCATACAGACTGTTAAGCTGTAAAATCCATACCATAACTCCTGTCAAAGGGGTTCCCCTCAATCTTCTCAGTTTGCAATTTTAGGATAAAAAGAAACATGTGTTTCATTTCCAGGGCGTTTAACTAGTTCATCTAGGAGCCTGAGTCATTCAGATCCTATGGAAAATCTTGACGACAATGAAGCAGATACATGAAAGAATAATATGCTCTTTAGTTCCTACCTTTCGAGAATACATATGAAACACAACAAATTTCAACAGGGACAGAAAAACATTAGGTCCATCTGTCTATGTCTTGTTGGTTGGCAGAGTTACTCAGTTGACGTGAACCAATTTGACTAGAACTTCAGTAATCACCCCGAAAGGGAGGACACAAAAAAATGATAAACTTGATTATAGCCTTAAATGTCTAAGTATACTCCAGTCAGTACTTAAAATTTTAAAACAAACTAATTTACGTTGAGAAGTGTACACTAAATAAAAACTCTAATTTGGATAAAAGTTGTCGGAGGATTTGCATCTATACCCGCTTTTTAGGTCATGTTTTAACTTGTGCCCGTTTGCAAAAAAAAATTACAAGCGTACCTATTGTTTCACGTAACTTCAGCATACGAGGCTGAAGTAGCAAAGACAATCTGTAACGACCTGACCGGTCGTTTTGAGCTTTTACACTTTGATCGTCAGTTCTCGGGCATGACTTGCCCCGTGTGATGTGTTATGACTTGTGTAAATCGTTGGTTTAGGTTTTCAGGAAAATCGGAGCGAATTTGGGAGAAACAGTTCTTAGTTTGTAGCTTGAAATTTGAAAGGTTTGACCAAGATTTGACTTGTTTGTATATGATCTCGGATCGGAATTTTTATGATTTGTTTAGCTCTGTTGGGTGATTTGGGACTTAGGAGCGTGATCGGAATGCATTTTGAACATCCATGGAAGGTTTAGGCTTGAATTGGCGAAATTGAGATTTCGGCGTTTTCCGGTTGATATGTGAGATTTTGATATAGAGGTCGGAATGAAATTTCGAGAGTCGTAGTAGCTTCGTTGTGTCATTGGAGATGTGTGTGCAAAATTTCATGTCATTTAGACGTGGTTTGGTTGAGTTTTTGATCAAAAGCGAAATCTAGGAGATTTTTGGATTCTTAGGCTTGAATCTGATGCAAATTTGGTATTTTAATGTTGTTTTGAGCGTTCGGAAGGTTGGAACAAGTTGGAACAAGTTTGAATGATATTATGAGATATGTTGGCATGTTTGGTTGAGGTCCCAAGGGCCTCGGGTGAGTTTCGAGTGGTCAATCAGACCATTTCATGTTGTGCAAAATTGCAGAAAATCAGCTGAAGTGTTGTAGATATTTTGTTCATCGCGTTCGCGGTCAGGGACCCGCGTTCGCGAAGGCTTTTATTCTAAGGCGCGAATTTTTGCCTTCGAGTTCGCGTTTATGGTGTCGAGTTCGCGATGTGGTGGTGTTTGATTCTCCGCGTTCGCGAGACCTGCATCGCGTTCGTATAAAGTAAGTGGATCAGATGGGGTCTCAGCCCCTTTTGTGCTTCGCGTTCGCGTAAAGGGTTTACGTTCGCGATGGTTTGGAAATCGGGCGCTCCGCGTTCGCGAACTGGAGGTCGCATTCGCATAAGGTAATTTTTGGTCAAAGATTTTTGTGCTTCGCGAACGCGAGGTTTGGACCGCGTTTGCGAAGAAGGTTTTTGAGTGCTGGGCAGAATGTTTTAAAAAGGCTATTCCGCGATTTTGAGGCTAAGAACCTCCATTGTTGAGCGATTTTGGAGCTTGAGAGAGCTAATGGAAGAGGAGTCCAAGGGGAAACACTTGGAGGTAAGATTTTGAACTCAATACTCGATTATTATGTTAATTTCACCTAGAAAATCATGAAAACTAAGCCTAAAATTGAAGAACAAGGGCTTGAAAAATTGGACTTTTGATTTGGGATTTGAAGGACCATTTGGAGTCGGATTTGAGAACTTTTGATATGTATGAACTCGTGGGGAGATAAGGTATCTAATGATGTGAAATTTTTTGAGTTTCGAGAAATGTGCCGGGGCTCGGGGTTTGCTAATTTCGGGAATTTTGGTATTTTTCGATTGTTTTCGCTTGGGCTTGGTTCCCTTAGCATATTGTGACGTATTCGTTCTGATTTTGGATAGATTTGACGCGTGTGGAGGCCGATTTGAGGGGCAAAGGCGTCGCGAGCTAGAGATTTCGCCGTTTTGAGGTGAGTAATGATTGTAAATGATGTTCTGAGGGTTTGAAACCCCGGATTGCACATCGTAGTGCTATATTGAGGTGAGACACACGCTGGATGACAGGCGTGAGGTCGTGCACTATTGGGGATTGTGACCCGGTCCGTCCCGACTGATGATTTTACCGCGTATTTGACTGAAACTTATTTGCTATCATCATGATTTGGGCCGATTGCCATATTTGGGCTTCGTGCAAGCTATTTGAACCCTTCGGGGATTGTTGTTGATATTTCCTCACTGTTTTGATTTTATACTTGAACTCAGTCATGTATTTTCCACTATTTTCAAAAACTCAGCCAAGTTTATTTTGCTTTAACACTTGAAATGATATATCCAATAATATTTTGGGCTGAGCATCATATTTTTACTGTTGCCCAAGGGGCTTATGTGATTTCTGACTGAGTAAAGCCGGGGGCTTGTATTGTGAGGATACTTTTGGATCGGGCTACACGCCGCAACAGTGAGATACTGATTTGATTATGAGGCCGAGGGCCTGAGATATGTACGCCACAAGGTGGCTTGTGATATTGTTTATGAGGCCGAGGGACTGAGATATATACGCCACGAGGTGGCTTGACTGATATTAGGCCAAGGGCCTAGATTTGATGCCACGAGATGACTTGATATTGCGCTTAGGCCGTAAGGGGCCCCTCCCAGAATCTGTACACCCCTAGTGAGCGCGGGTACTCATTGTGATGTGAGATATAGCCTGAGGGCTGATATTGTACTATGTGATAGCCCGAAGGGCTAGTATTGTTCTATGTGATTGCCCGAGGGGCTGGTACCGTTCTATGTGATTGCCCGAGGGGCTGGTACCGTTCTATGTGATTGCCCGAGGGGCTGGTATTGTTCTGAGATATTGCCCGAGGGCGGAGTTGTTGACATTGTACCCGAGGGGCGAATCTTTATGTGTTTATCTTTCATATTTACTTACCATTTTTAACTGTTACACTATGATTTTTGTGCTCGGGGGGCGGATTTCTGTGCTTATCGGCACTAACTGTTTTGCATTCATTTGTGTAATTGTAGAAAAGGCTATTTTCAAAGAAGTTTAAACTGAGCTAAGATGTTTTTAAGAGATTTTACAGCTTCACTGCTTTCTCACAGGTTTTTGAACTCCTTCTATACATCATCTTGATTGGCTTTACATGATTTCTTGCCTTCAGTCTTAATTTACATTTGTTACTCACTGAGTTGGAGTACTCACTTTACTCCTTGCACCATGTGTGCAGAGGTATTTCTGAACTTGGTAACGGGTATTGGTGGATCAGAGGCAGAGTCATCGGAGTTTAGCAAGGTAGCTGCCGGTGTTCGCAACACCGCTTTTTCTCCCTCTTTATTTCATTTATCTGTACTCTGTACATTCAGACTTGTCAATTGTAGTTAGACCCTAGTAGATGCTCGTGACTTGTGACACCCCAGTTAGGGCTGTGTCGGGTTGTACTTTCGTTAATTATCATCATTAAACTTTGATTAGACTGCTTATGCATTGTTTAACTGTTTTAAAGGAAAAGTGAATTGGGTTTAGTTGGCTGGCCTTGTCTTCACGAGAGGCGCCATCACGACCGGGTCGGGGTTTGGGTCGTGACAAGTTGGTATCAAAGCCTAGGTTACATAGATCTCACGAGTCATGAGCAGGTTTAGTAGAGTCTCGCGGATCGGTACGGAGACGTCTGTAGTTATCCTCGAGAGGCTGCAGAACCTTTAGGAAAACTTCACATTCTCGAATTCTTATCGTGCGTCCCTGATTCAGCTTGAAAAGTAACTCTTGAATTCCTTCCATGCGTTCGTATGCGAGTATGAGCGCTTAATATCAGATGTGCCTTGATGGCTTGTGATTCCCTGATCGAGGGGCGAGATGTGATCTCTGTGAGTTTGATGTCGGGCTAGCCTGAAGGACTTGAGGCCGGATCTTTGCCTATGGCTTGAGCACCGAGGTGCTGATTGTGTGACCAAGTGTTTTTGAACTTATATGTTCGGTAGTGTCCCTATTAGTGGGAGTGACGGTTGGATAACTATGTGATGAGTATGTTAGTACTGCGAGAGGTATCCATATGATATGGAGGCAACGAAGAGGGGCTGCTAGAGGATAGAAGAACTATTAGGTGCTGGAATTCCATCTTGATTCGAGATATAGCCTCGAGTTATGGGTGTGTGAAGGATCTTTTTCATATTTCCCAGTTGAGAGTAAAGTAAATTTAATGTTACGGTATGAGTTCAGACTCAGGAAGATTAAGTGAGTGCGTACAGTTTATGACGGTGGAAGGTATACAAAAATGTTAATTGAAGGCAAAACAAGTGGATTATCTCCTGCGAAGAGTTCTGGGGTTGTGTGATCCTTATGTGACTGTTAGAAGGTATCATGTGCAAGTGAAATATAAGTGTTGAAACTTGAATTTTAGATCGCTTAAGAGAGTGGGCTTAACTGTTGCGAGAATGAGTGCGAGATTTGTCGAAGACTTAAAGTACTAGATGATCTGTATTTTCGCAAGCTTACAAAGGATTTGAGTTTAATCTCACTATAGTATTATGGAATCAATAGAGCATATGCATTATGA